TTTTTTTTTGGTATGGGGATTGAACTCGGGTCCTTGCACTTGCAAGGCAGGCCACCGAACTGCTGAGCTAAATCCCTGGCCCTTCTTTTCTCATCTTTTTTCCTTTCCTTTCCTTTCCTCTCCCCACTCCTCAGTTCCCCTACTCATTTGAACATTTTCTTCCTATTTTACAATATTTATTATACATTTTGGTCCTTATTTACACTTTTTTTCAAAATGGAAACATTGTTTCAGAGACAATGCAGTATTTACACATGTATGACCAATTAATTTTAGTTAAGAGTATGATCTCAAGGTGCATTCCTTTACCTAGAAATGTTTCAAGTGTATCTTTCTTCATGGCGGAGTAGTACTCTATTGTATAAAAAACCCACATCTTCTTTATTTGTTCATTGGTTAATGAGCATTTGAGCTGTTTCCAAGATTTAGCTATTATAAATTTTGCCAGCATAAACATGGGTGTGCATATATCGCTGTGATTGATGCTTTTAATTCTTTTGGGAAGATACTTAGAAGAGAAATAGCTGGGTCGAATGGCACCTCTAGTTTTAGTTTTTTGAGGAATCTCCACACTGATTTCCACGGTGGTTACAGAAATCTACACTTCCACCAGTAGTAGAGAAGGGTTCCTTTTTCTCCACAGACCTGCCTCCCCAGCATTTATTATTGGTGGATTTCTTAATAATAGCCTTTCTTTCTGGAGTGAGATGGAATGTCAGCGTTTTTAATATGGATCTCATGAATGACCAGTGATGTTGAACATTTTTTCGTATATTTATTTGCTGTTTCTACTTCTTCATCTTAGAAATGTCTATTCATTTCAGGTGCCCATCTTTGGATTGGGTCTTTAAATTTAGAGAGTGTGATATTTTTTTAGTTCTTTATAGATAGTACTCCTTTGTTTGAGGAACAGTTGGTAAAATTTTTCCCCCACATTGTGGGTTGTCTCTCACCCTGTTGGTGGTTTCTCGCTCTCTCTTTCTCTCTTTTTTTTTTTTTTTTTTTTGAGACAGGGTTTCACTATGTAGTTGAGACTCACCTGGAACTCACTGTGTAGCCAAGGCTGGTCTCTCACTCACAGCATTCCTCCTGCCTCAGCCTCCTGAGTGCTAGGATTACAAGCCTGCACCACCATGCCTGGCTCTGTAGAGATTTTTTTTTTAAATCATGAATGGGTGTTGGACTTTGTTAAACACTTTTTCTGTGTCTATTGAGATTTGGTTCTGTTAATATAGTATATTACATTTAATAATTTGTGTATGCTGAACTATCCTTGCATCCCTGGGATGAATCCTGGTTGGTCAGGGTGTATAATCTTCTTGATGATTTGCTGCATTCTGTTTGTTAGTATCTTATTGCGGATTTTTGGGTCTATGTTCATTAGGGAAATTGGCCTGTAGTTCTCTTTTTTTGTTGGATCCTTCTCTGGTTTTGGAATCAAGGTAATGCTTGCTTCCAGGAATGGATTTGGGAGTATTGCTTCCCTTTCAGTTTCATTAAAGAGTTTGAGGACTGTTATATTTTATTTAGAACCTGAATATTAGCAAATTTCTTTTTCTTTCATCTTAACTTTGTGTTTAAACAAATACATTACAGGCTAATATTTTTTTCATGAAGTGTTAGCAAACTTTTTGGTTGACTATGATGTGTGTGTGTATGTTAGCTGATGTGGATATGTGTTCTTTTTTCAATTTGGATTTACATATATAAACCTTTAGTGTTATATGCTGGTTTTTGATTCCTAATTAATTCATCTACATGTTAACCCACATTCATTAGTCCTTAACATTAACTAAGACTGTTGCACATCTAGTATTTATTGACATATTTGTAGTCATTTGAAAATAAAGCATGTTATCTAAATATTTTAAATTAAATAGAAGTATAACTCACATTTATCATATTGAAGGATAGGAATATAGAAAAAAATTTAAAGTATTTATCTAAAAAGCACATGAAGCCTTATGTTTTCCACGTAGCTTCATTTTTTTTGTTCATGTTCTTCATTACTTTTTTATGACTTAATGAAAACAAGGAAATCATGGTCTGGGGAAGAGCTCAGTGGTAGAATACTTACCAAGCATGGCCAAAATCCTGAATCTGATCCTTAGAACTAAACAAACAGCTGGGCATGGAGGTGCACTTTGGTCATTCCAGCTGCACAGAGGCTGAGACCAAGTTATTGCTTGGGCCTTGGAGTTGAGAGCTAGCCTGGGAGACGTAATGAGACCCAGCACTTAGAAATGTGGAATTGCACAAGTTCATTTTTCTGTGTAAATGCATAGAAAACACTTGAACAAAGATATTTGTGAGGACAGAATCACAGAAATGGTAGCTTTTTAAAAATTAAATAACACCTCAAATGTTCAACATGAAAAGTTGTTCTTTTTGAACCATAACTTCTCAATGACATATTCTGAAATTTCTAACTTGATTTAAAAATTCCAAGATAGGAACGAGATAGATTTTAAATAAAAGTATGTTGGTATGTAAATTTTCAAAGTGTAGTTTTTGTTTTTAGTACCGAGGACCAAACTTGGGACCTTGCAGTTGCAAGGCAGGTGGCAGCACCACTGAGCTAAATTCCTGGCCTTAAAAGTATAGTTTTTAAAGCAACAGGATTTCTGAACATGAATCTGGCTTCTATCAAGACATTGTCTCGATAAATGGTTCAATTGTTATCCAAAGTTATTTTTAGGTGTTATACTATATTACTTTAAAAAAATTCCAGGGTCCGGGGATTTAGCTCAGTAGCACCGTGTCTGCCTCTCAAGCGCAAGGGCCTCAGTTCCATCCCTGGTACCAAAAAAACCCCAAACTGCCCCCCAAAGACTCTAGTAGTCAGTGTTATAGATTTGTCATTTTCACCCTTTTTCATGAGTGTTCTACCTTAGTTGTAGTGTTTTTCCTTTTCCATAATTAATCTCAGGAGCTAAAGTTAGCATCACATTGACTTTTCCTATTTAAACTCAGTGCACCTTTAAAAGGGATATTTTCATGTTCACTGTGGTAGTGTATAATATCTGATTAGCCATCTTTCTGTTGTGTATTGATTAATTTGATTTTATGGTGATGGGATCATTGGTAACTGCATTAAAGAGGAATGGATTTGATTGACTTTGTGTCCATTTTTATGTGTGCTGTGTTCATGTTTTATTTAAAAGCATTTCTTGACTAGGATAAGTTAAGTGGTTTCATTTGCCTTTTATACACACACACACACACACACACACACACACATATAATTGAAGTTGGCAGTGTGGCAAAACAGTAATCAAAATAAAATACTTCAGAATGATGACATAAACCTGAGCTATTTCTTTTCAAGTGTTATATATGATATTTAATGGCTTCTAAGGTGTTTTATAATAAAGTACTTTGCTTTGAGTAATTTAGTGAATTTGTTAATACATAATTAGAGGTTTACCCTGCTTAGGTAAGTGGTGAGTGAAGATTATAGATCTTGGGAAAATTGTATTGGGACACAACTAGTAATAGTTGGGTTTTTGTTTTTGTGTTTGTTTTAATTTTTTTTTTTTTTTTGGTACCTGGGATCAAACTCCGGCCCTTGCACTTGTGAGGCAAGCAGTGGAACCAGTGAGCCAAACCCCTGACCAGTAATAGTTTGGTTAATGGTTTAATGCTTTTTTTACGTCAGGTTATGATTCAGTTGAGAGGCCCCTTCTATAAGTATCTCTGTTTTTCATGTAAAGAAGAATCAGAGAACATTGTATAGCCTGAAGTTTTGCTGTGGACCAAGATGAGTGTGTGTGTGTGTGTGTGTGTGTGTGTGTGTGTGTGTGTGTGTGTGTTTTTTCTTTTTTCTGGATGGCTTCCATCTTCATTACTGCCATCAAATAAAGAAGCACTGCTGTATTTTGGCATATTTGCAAACACATATAACCTGCTCTGATCATTCCCCCCTCATTATTTCTCCTCTCTCCTCTCTTCTCCTCTTTCCCTCTTTCTCCCCCACCTCTCTCTTTCTTTCGTACCAGGGATCAAACTCAGGACCTTGTGCTTGCAAGGCAGGTGCAGTGCCACTGAGCTATATCCCCGGCCCCTTAGAAAATATTTTGAATTGAATGAAAATAGAATATATTGAAATTCATGAAATGAAATATGGTATATGGAGCAAAACTTATCATTCCCAGGGCTCATTTTAGGAAAGGACAATGGTCTTGATCCAATATTGTAACAGATTTTTTTTCTTGGACATTATGTAAATAAAAACATTTTAAAGAAATGGTTCTGTATAGAAACAATGGGCAAATTTTATGAAATGTCAGTTTTATTTTAATTTACCTATAAAATTAAGGCAAATAAGTGAAAGAAATTATATTGGGCCTCAAACCTCCTCTTCTAGCATTGTTCTGCTTTTTTTAACTTGGGTATTTTCAAAGAACTACATTAGTTAACTATAAGCTAACTGGTAAATCTCACAATTCTTGTACGGTATTCTGCTTGACTTTAACTTGTTATATTTTCTCCTGTGTCCATGTTTTATTTCTGTAATGGGCAAACATTTGTGAATTTTATAGTAGTCTATTACACTGTAAAACTCTCCTTGAATAAAGCAATATTGGATTACATTTTGCAAAGAATTAATAGTAGTTGATTTTTCCCCCTTAATCTATAATTGAATAAGTAATTGTATCATTTGCAGTCAAGTCAATTGACTATTTCAGAATTTAGATGACTTTCTGTTAAGGGTGTGTATTTTCTCATTGCTCAAGTGAAATGCTCACCTGACACTGGTAAGGATATTCTTCCACTGTAGTGGAATTGTGTTCTTTGGTCAGTATAGCTGTGTACAGCCTTTAGCTTCTGTCTTTAATCTTTTTCTGCAGGTGATTGTGAGTGAGGACTCTGATGGTGATGGCATTGTGGCTCATTTCCCTGCCCACGAGAAGCCAGTGTGCTGCATGGCTTTTAATACAAGTGGTAAGTGTTCTTCTTTTGCTTTGCCATTTATTTCAGGGGTTTCTAGCAGTGTATTTTTGAATCCAAAATAGGAAATGTGGAATGTGACTTTTCTTCATGTGACTGTATATGTCAGAAATGTTGGTAGTGCTCAGCAAGTGCTACTGAATGAGTGAATTCATAATGTAGGTTAGTACCCTACCCCTCTGTGTCACCCTCAATAGGGTGTAATTGAATAGCAGCAGTTAGGTATACAGTGCTGCTAAGTTGGATTAATTTTGGGGTTATAATTATAACTTTTTATTGTTCCAAACAGAATATTAATGTTTATGAATGGCATTTTCTTTGAATTTGAAGGGTTTTTGTAATGTACAACATTTTCGATGCTAATTTACTTTTTCCTGTCTTTTTTTTTTTTGTACCGGGGATTGAACTTGGGTCCTTGTGCACAGAACTACTGAGCTAAATCTGTGCCCTCCTGTTTTTTGATGTTAATTTTTCTGGTTGTTCTCTTTTTTTGGTACTGGGGCTCAAACTGAGCTAAATCCCCCGCCCTTTTCTGATTGTTCTTAAGGCATTTGATAAGGACTAATGTTCCAGCAATGTGGAAGGTCATATTTTCACTAAATTTTTTATTATGTAAAGTTTCAAATACAAAATTAAGCCTAGTGTAGTAGTCATTCATGTTTTACCACACCACCTAAACATATGTTCACATTTATATATATAATATAAATATGTTTCCCTGAAACATTTGAGTATTTTATATACATTGTAACATTTCATCCAGTTCTAATTAACCATGTGTTTCCTCAGAGTACAACTCCCCCTACATAACCAAATATTATATTATAGGCTAGAAAATCAGTACTTTATATTTTCTAGAATCCAACCCATAATTTAAAAATTTTCAAAAATGTGTTGTGTGACTACTTAAAACCACAGTGTAATTAAGGTTCACTCTTTACATTGTACATATATATCTTAAATTCCACGTAGTATAACATATAACTTTTACCTTTCTATTTTTTTGTAATGTCCTGAATAATTGCCTAATCAAAGTTCTGAATTTATAAGTTTTCCATATGTAATGATTTCTATATTCCTGTATCCCCCTGGATTTTAATTAATTGTAAGTTAGAACTAGAAATGCTGAAAACCATTCAGACTAAGGAGGTTTTTCTTTATTTTTAAAGTTCATAGTTATTGTAACATGTTGCAGCATGTTACTTGGCGTAACTAGTATGGCTCATTTTTATATCCCATTGTATGTCAAATCTTTAGAGTTCTAAATTTCTTTAAATTGTGTGTTTCTGATGTTGGAAACTACATATTAAATAATACAAGGATTGTCATAGTCTATCATTGTCAGAAGTTTTCTTTTAAAAATGGTTTCATTTTTTGATCTACATTTTGCTGTTTGATATATTTGACCTTTTTCATTTGTGTTTATTTGATAAGATTTAAAATATCAATATTTATATGTTTTTCTTTTTATAAGTATGATGTATTTTGGTTTGTGACAATCATTTGTTTAAATGCTTCTTCTGTTGTGAACCTGTGTTCCTCCCAGTTAAGCATCAGATATTATGTATCTTTGACTTTTTTCTTCACTGCCTGTAATCTGTTAGATTCTCAACTTTTATTAATTGATATTTTGTGCAAAGGTATATAATTTAAGTGGGCCTTAATACAGTACATGAGTTTTTATTTAAATTTTTCTTTTTTGAAATGTAACTTAGAGATCCTCAAATAACGTACTTCAGTTTTTCTTTACCCATATGTGTGCCTGTATACATTCCTGACTTTATATCAGTAAGTTTTAACTGTATTAACCCACTAATAATTCTCTACTCTTCGTTTGTAAATGGCATTTTCATGGTGCATATAATATGGCTGATAATAGCAATAGTGTTCATTAGAATACTTTTTACAAGTTTAGGGAACTTTAAAAGAAAGATAACATGTAAAGATAGATTGTGTGTTTTTGTTTTTTGAGACAGAATCTCCCTTTGTAGTTCAGGATGGCCTTGAACTCACTATGTAGCTCAGGCTGGCCTCACATTCATGCCAATCCTCCTGACTCAGCCTCCTGAGTGCTGAGATTACAGGTATGCGCCTTGTATGTTTTTGTTTTTAAAGCTCATCTTCCATAAGCCCATTTACCTGTATATATTATGATTGTACTAAAGAATGTAGTACACGTAAATTTATTTGTCTTTTTTTTAAAGATGTATTTTTAGATGACAATATTATAAAAACTGTCATGGATCACAAAATTCAAGAATAAAACAGACCTGTGCTTACCTCCTTGGAAATGTTAAAAAAAATACAAAACCCAACAAAACAAAACATGAAGCCTGTAAATGTACAAATGGAATAACACCGCAGAGTGAAGTAAGAAGAAAATGACTTCTTGACTTGATTGGACAGCATACAGTTCTGTCCTATGTGGGACCTATTGGGAAAAGAAATTAAGGGATGCTGGTGAATAGAGTTGTGCAACTTCTACTTCAGCAGCTGCATTCAATTTGTTTTTCAGATTCTTATTGTTGTTTATTAGCTGTGACTCACAGTCCAGAATTAAAACAAATATTTTAATTATAGTATTTATGATTGTTTAAAGTGCCAGATTAGTCTTTTTGTTTCAATTTTGGGAGGTACAATATGCATAGTAAAAAATCTGTTGCTTTTTTTTTTTTTTTTTTTTGGTTTTTTTGAAACAGTGTCTATATGTAGTTGAGATTGACCTGGAACTCACTGTGTATCCTAGGCTGGTCTCGAACTCACAGGGATCCTTCTGCCTCAGCCTCCCGAGTGCTGGGATTACAGGCATGCGCCACCATGCCCGGCCTATTCCTTTTAGTTATGTGTTTAGTTAGGGTCAAAATGGGTAACATTTCTTGAGAACCTTTTATTTCTGGGTTGAATTAATAAATTTTATATTTTACATCAGTTAAAGGCTACAGCTAAATCCATCAAAAAGCAGAGTTCCCAAATATCTACTCTGTCTTCAGATGCCTCGTTTCTCTCACCATTGACTTCCTGCGCCACAGGGGAACATTGCTAACACAGTGGATGGGTCTTCTTCATTGTCCTTCTTTCCCATCACCCACCATGTACACCAGGGTCCTCTCATGAGTTGTACGTTCTGTGATTCTTGACAAATATGTAATGACAGGATCTGCTGTTGTGCTGTCATACGTAGTATTCACAGCCTTAGAGGATTTGTATATTAAATAAAATTTGGGATTTCCCCTCTCCTTTTTTCCTTCCTTCTTTTCTTCCCTTCCTTTTTCCCTGTCTTCTTCCCTTCAGTGGGGATTGAATCCTCACATTTTCACATTGAGTTATCTCCCTAACTCTTCTTTATTCACTTTTTATTTTGCATCAGGATCTATCACTAAGTCGCTAAATTACCCAGGTGGGTTTGAACTTTCGAATCCTACCCTAGAGTGCTGGCATTACAGATGTGCGCCAACATGCCCATCATAACTATTATGTGTCTTAAAACATTGTTTCTTCTACTTTCTACTTCCCTTATGAGATCTCAGATCCTTGTAGATAGGTGTTCCCTTCATGGTATTCAGGTCTCGGAGGCTCTGTTCAGTTTTCTTCATTCTTTTTTTTTTTTTTTTTAATTTTGTCAACCTGGCTGTCTTCAAGTTCATTGATTCCCTCCTCTGTTCAGTTTTGTTTGAGCCCTTCTAGTAATTTTCTTTATTTCAGGTATTGTAATGCCAACTCCAGGGTTTGTGTTCATTTCTTTTTTATAATGTTATGTCTTTATTAATAAGTGAAACACATTGTCATACTTTTCTTAAATGTTTTAGACATGGTTTGTTTGCATACTCAGCAGCAGAAAAGATTTTTAAAAATGTTATATATTCTAGATAGAAGTCCTCTGTCAGATTTGCATGTGATTTGCGTGTTTTTTCTTCTAGTGAGAAATTTGCCTTTCTTCTTACCATGTTCATCTTAGAGATACTTCTTTAACTTTTCATTAAGTCTAATTTTGTCTTTTATGGCTCATGTTTTTGTTACCATGATTAAGAAATGTTCACCAATCTGGGGCCTGAAGATTTTCTTCTGTGTACTCTTTTCTCAGTTTTACAGTTTATATTTAAATCTGTGATCCATTTTAAGTTAATTGTTATAAATCATATTAGGTTTTGCTTGCTATTTCTTTTCTCCCTTGTGGATAATCGGATGGCTACTGCATCATCTTTTCAATGCAGTCTTTCCTTAATCTCTTTCATACGTTCTATCAAAATATGACAGTTATACAGGCTATTTCTGTGTTTTCCTATCAAGGTGAATTATTTTTGTGTTTTTTTCTTTCTGGGAACATCTGTATTTTATCTATAATTTTGAAAAATATTTCAACTGATACTTTTGTGTGACAGTTTCTTTTTTTCTTTCAACAACTGCCAGCTGTCCTTCTGCCAAGGTTTTGGCATTATTAACCTTGAACCTATTGGTTGGCTGAGTGCAGAGATGTACCATTTAAAGAGCTGTATTCTTTGAGGTATCATATTGAGACCAGTGCAAGTTTTAAAAAATATACTGAGTTTTCCTTATGCTCACCTGTTGTGCAGGTTTCTTCTTTCTGTCAGAGGTGAAGTCCACTACTTTTGCTTTTTTTTGTATTGAACTTTCAAGTAGATTTTTAAAAATTTAAGATTTTGTTGTTTTTCAATTTGTCTTCATCAGGGATCAAGACCTTATAGCCTCTTGTGATTTTACAAATTCATTCTATAACCTTTTCCTCACTGGCCTGTTTTTGGACATTAGGGTCAAACAATAAACATATATTAGTATAGACTGTGTGGTCTAAATAGCAGGCATTTTTGTTTCTCATTATTCTAAGATCAGTGTTCTACACAGTTGGGTTCTGGGAGTGCTTCTTCCTGTCTTGCAAGACAGCTACCCGCTTGCTGTGTCCTTGTGTGACCTTTTCTCTGTGTACTTGTGGGAATGGCGGAGAGATGGGGAGCCAGTGATATCTGGGCCCCAACACT